AAAATATTTTTACAGCATTCTTTCATTGTTATAAGATTTTTCTCTCTGTTCTCAGGTACAGGTGATTTTCTGATAAATTCTTATTTGTTTTTCTACTTATGGTAATCACATTCGTTTTTCTTCTATATTGCATTTCTTTCCAATCTAACAAAAACATGTATATTTCTCACTAAGGCATCATATAATTCGTTAGTTTATGTATTATACTGTCTGTGAATGCTTAAGGCTTGTGCTATTCGCAAATAATGAACAAGCTTAAGAGTTTACACAGATATTTTCATAAAGAGAAAGTCTGTTTAATTTTTTGCCATAACAAAGGAAGACACTTATTGAAAGGGAATTTCACCGAATTGTCTTATAAAACCACTAAGCTTGGGATTTTTCTTTATCTTTTTCTTTTCCTTTCTTTTCTTCTTCCTTTTAGCTCAGATAAGCTATAAATTTCGTTTTGGCATTTTGCGTTGAAAACTTTAAATGTTCGTTTCACTTTTCTCAGAGTTGCCACCAAATATTATCTCCCCGTGTTACATTTAAAGAAATAAAATAATGAAAATCTGCATAAATGTAGGTATGTTTCTCGCATTGGGATAAAATAACGGTACCTAGAGCCATAAAATTTTGAATAACGTAATCCTCCACCGAATATGGGCATCTTGGAAGCCCTAATTTGGAATTTGTTTTATTATCGATTTCATATTCTGTAACACTTTAATAAATTTTTTATTAACGAACTAAACGATTTCAAAGCGAGTAATGGCAATACCGTACGGAAGAAAAAAACACTTTTCATCTCCCGCGCGAGAGACTGTGTATCGGAAATTCTAAAGATATGGTCAATTTAAAATTATTCTTCAATATTACTGTTGAATTGAATTTTATGGCTTAAGTGCGAAGAGTATGATATTTAACAAATAAAAGTAACAAACAAAACGTAAAAAAACGCCCTTTTGGGCGTAATGTAAAATCTGAAGCTTTCAGAATTTTTTACTTTGACAAAATAATATTTTCCTTTTTTCATTTCAAATAACAGCCACATGCTTCAGCTTGCGACATTAGCCAAGATAGCCATGAGCTTGCTATAGCAAACTAATGAGCAGAATGGCCGATTGCATATTTATTGTAGTAGAATTCACATGAGAACAGTTTGGAACGAGTCTGGTTAATATTGTTGTTTATTATTTTATTTTCTAGTTAAAGAACTGGTTTCCCAAGGTAATATCTCACTTTTCGTATATATATATATAATACTGTGATCACACATTACACACACACACAGATATATATATGTAAGATATAAGAAAATACGATAGCTGCTTTAAAAATAATTGGCGACCTCAAAATTAACGATTCTAGATTTGGTGATCTCCCCCTAAGTTCATCTGTTCTCCCAAATTCTAGAATTTTCTATGTTATGTAATAACATCAAATTAACCAATCACATATTAGCTCTACTTATACTTCAGACGTGGTATGATTACCCTTGGCACAAAAAAACTACATCACGCCTTTACTAGATTAGCCACAGTTAATACATCCCCATCGCTTCGCTTCTTAACTGACCACGTCATTTCCTTTTAAAAAGCCAATGTACATAAAAATTTATAATATTTAATTATAATTGAATAAGTGTCTGTCAAATTAATTGGATGTGTGTAAAAATAAAGATTGGTGATTTATCGAAATATAAGTCGTTATCTTCATCTGTATGCCTTAACCACTGCTACGACGGAATTGAAAGCCATTAAGAGTTTAAGTGTTCGACTGCGCATTCAAAATCATTATACACACACACACACATATATATATATATATCATATATCAATCTATCTAGCTATATATATATAATACTGTGATCAAACAATGCTATATGAAATAAATCAGAAATACGTATCGCCGTATTTCTGACTTACTATATATAGCTTAAGTGTTTACCTTTTTGTTACTTCTTTCTCTAAAAACAAGGACAGTGTGCATTTGTGATATGCAGAAATACCTATCGAATAAATTCGTTTTCTTATAATTGCGAATATGCCCTTTTCTCAAAATAAAAATAATTCAAGAATCAGAGATCATTTTAAGCAACTCCTATCATCAAATGAAGTTGTAGTGTTCAAGCTATCAATATTCTACAAAAAGATGTTTCTAACGTTCCTTGCACCAAATTCCTTACATTTATGTATACATATTGTTGTTCAATAAAACAAGAAATGGAAGCGCCTGGTTATAACACAAATATCTGTAACACTGTATCAATTTAATAGGATTATATGACCTGCACATACATACATTTATTTTTCTACAACAGCGAAGCCACTTTAGCTTTCAATTGTACTTTCTAGTCAGACGAAGAAAACTGAAAAATTCAGTGATTAGACAGAACTGAAATTTTACATGAGGAAAATTACCGAAAAAGGAAAGAAATCTTAGGCTATCACTTCAACTTTCTACCCATGAGTTTGTCGTTAAAAGTGTTAAAAGGATAGAGCTGGCAAGGTTACGCACTAAAAGACGAAGGGATCATCTAATGAGTTCCATATAAACAAGCAAAAGTGAAAAGAGGAAATAAGTTAACATTTGGACGTAAAATACAGTAAAGAAAGATTTATAATAATAATCAGTTATCGCTACTATTATTATTAATCTTTCTTTTTATAGTTTTTTAATTATCAGTTATATCATTAGTAATAATTTGGAGCAATATGTATCCTGCTATCTCCGTTGCTTTTCTTCTTTTTAAAAATTTCGGTTAAACGGTAAGATTTGATTTAAAAAGCCGCAGCAATAACTAGAAATTGCGTTTAAATAGGGAAACAGAATTATTCATAGAATATCAGTACAAATTCGCTTCTCTGAATACAAGGAATATGATTCTTATTTACAATAACTCACATTTGCATGAAAAAATACTTTCGATACCAGTTTCCGATTGACCGTTTTTAGTTCATATATTTCTAGTATTAATGATGTTGGTATTTAATTTATTCGAAAATTTTAACCTGAATACGATTTTAATATGCAAAGTTATGCTTTTTGGACATATCTCTTATTCCATATCTTGAAAAACGAGCCCTTCTGTTTCGAGTATCTTTGTGCTTGTTTCTTTTTGAAATCCTGATTTTCCACTTTGTTTTACAGTCAAAATCAAGAGTAGTAAAGCTAGTACAAGGCACGATCTGCATTTAGATTGACAAGAAGCGACACCTCCTTTGCAAATTTAAAATCAACGAAAACATGAGCGTTCACGTTCTACTTTTGTATATGTTATTTTTCCTCCCATTCTATATGAGACGAAATGCCCGTGACAGCTCTAATTTTTTTTTTTTTAATTTTAGAAGAGATTATTATTATATTTTCGGAGTATTTTCTGAATGTTTTTTTCCTGGATTCAAATTTAATTAATTTTAGTTATCGCTAAAGCTTGATATCCACTCTCTGTTGCGTGCCCACTATTTTTGATTAACAGAGTGAAAAGCAATCAAGAAATGTATGTAAGAATTAAACAAAACACATGTGTCATATTGGGTCCAAATTGTTTAAAGTAATCGGCACATTATACAAATTGGGAAAACGTAATCGCGTATGTATCTTAACTTTGCTCAAATAATATTTTCTTCATATCTGTAAATCTTTAATAGCTTCTACGTACTTACCACCCAAAAAGATAGATTTCAATGTACTGTATGCAAACTGATAATCGGTGTAAAAGGGTGTCCTAACCATCCTAGCGTTATACTAAAGTTGAGCGATATTGTTCAGTACACTGACTAAGGATCGAATCTCAGACTTCTTTGTTATTCACAACTGCTGTAACATTTGATTTATTCTGAACCGTTAGGTAATTCCAGATAATTTCTACAAATCAAAATTTTGTATTTGTATTTCGTCCCCATAAAATTTCTCATCCCACGGAGAAACATTTTACTGACATAACATTTCAAATGTTCCCCATACAAACTTTACTATTCAAAAAAGGAGGTCTAAAGTAACTAAAAAATATCAATAAACAACAGCTTAAAAAAATGAAACCTTAAAAGTGATTTTATTTATTTTTAATTTTATTTTATTCATTTTTATAATATTCAAACTATTCATCTTAAAATAGCAAAAGTTAAACTTAAAATAAAATTTTTTGGATTTTTTTTTAAAAATTAACTTTTTTTTTAAATTAAAAAACATACTCGAAAATTAATTGATACATTTAAAAACTGATGTATTTCTCTATTTTAATATAATTTACCCTTTTTATTTTATTTTAAGCGCTCTCGATATCTTTTAGGTAAATTTTAAGCGCACTCTCGATATCTTTTAGTTAAAGGTAAGTTAATAAATTAAGCAATTCGAGGGTTATCTGCTTATGAGAAAAGATTACTTTGTAATCGATCTTTTAAAGGAAACTAGCTCGAATTCAAGTTACGCATTAGAAAAAGCCCTAAAACTGCCCAGACACCCAGTCCGTTCCCGAACTTGGGTCTACTCCTCGGCCGCTGGTGAATGTTAAACCTAAATAAAGACTTACAACATGACTTTTAATTTAATTAAATGTAAATGCTTTTTTTATTTTGACTTTTTAATTAATTTGTAGAGCATTCTTTCATGTGTTTCGTGATATTCAATAAATAATTCATAAAAGAAATTAATAATTTACTAAATAAATACAAAATATGTGTTATATTTTTAACAAAACACAGAACAATTTTCAAAGCATTTCATCAGTTATTTTCCCAGTTCGAAGAATCGGAAGAGTTTAATGCAACGAAAATTTTAAAATTCAGAAAGCTGCATTTAAAATTTCTAACTGATCATCTCTTGATACGTAGACTTACATTAATAAAATATTTCTAACATATATTCTAACTGCAATGAAGATACTGTCACATAAAAGCAATATTTTTCATTAAAAATTGTAATGTTTTCCACTTTTCTCAAATGAGGTAATTGTGAAGGACAGAAATGAAACTGTAAGCAGGAGCTTAGGTCTACTGATTCAAAATTTAACTTACCTATGCCCAGACATTTCTATGGTAATACGATTTCCTCCAGATTTAGTTCTAGCGCTCTCCGATCTTGGCCCATTTCCGATTTCTTTAGGACCTCCAAAGTGGTCATCAACCCAGCGGTGAGCGACTGCTGGCAGTTCCCCGTTTTGCTGCCGATGGTGCTGCATCCTGGACCTCCTGGATTCCTCTTGAAGACGATCTGACACATTCTGGAATTCCTGAGGATCCGTGTAGTACTGGATAGTTCGTGAAGTCTCAGCAGAACGTTCCGGAACCATACCTTCTTCCGCTTCTTCTTCCGGTACCTAGGCAAATTAAAACTACAAAGGGACTCGAATTGATTATCGTCTAATGTAGCTAACATTCAAATTTATAACCAGTATTAGATTTCCCATTTTGCTTGGTGCATAATGTTGATCTACAATATCGCCTATCCAATTTAAATGGAAGAATAATAAATATCAAGTATTATTATTTGCATAGTTTAGTGATTCCCGGTTTGGGATGCTCGTACCTTAAGGGTAAGAAATAGGGTATTAGTGAGACTATATGAATGAAAAATGAATAATGACAAAGAAAGCCATACTGCATACGTCTTCCAACAAGAAAAATGTGTAAATATTGAGATGAATGTGTATAGTTGTAGGGTTTCCCAAATTATTTAACCTATTATTCATTTTTTTTTTTTTTTTTTTTTTTTGTTATCTTTCATGATCTCCTCAACTTCCCCTCGCATTTCCTCGCCAGAAGGTAAATTCAAAGTTAAGTGAAGTGAGTGTTTAAACGGGTGAATATTGGAACTTATTCACATCGTGTTTTCGCTAGCCATCGCACGTTTCGTTTCTGATCTTATTGTTACGCTAATACGCCGCTTGGCCATTTCGATTAATTTTCATGCCTGGTAGGTTTGTTAACCTAAGCTAGCCGAAACTTAACGTGCTAATCTAACACTATTCTATTTACACTTGAATTTATTTATGTAATAATGTTTAAGTTCCACCGCAAGTTTTCGGTGTTATTGTAAAGCACGAAGTATGTGCCTTTTGTGTTCATAGTTGGAAATAATAAAGGGTTCTTTTCCCACTTACTCTGTGCTGGTATTACTTCACGTCTGTGAGAGAATTCGCCAGGTTCATTTTGTAGGATCTAGATTATTTATGTGTAAAAGGAAAGATAAATCTTATATAGTAATATACAGAGGACGCCTTCACAATGTGTTTCGTAGTAAATGTACTGACTCCTCAGAGAGACAAGCCGTTGCCTGTCAAGATAAAAAGCTTTGCAATTGTGCTCTAGCACAAAGGTTATGAAGATCAGTTTCTAACTTGAAAAAAAAAAAACCAGCCATTATAAAGTCTTCGAAACTCAGCTATGCAAGCGGGGTTTTAGTTTGCTACTGTGATTAATACAGCAAACAAAAATTCGGTTTGCACAGCGGTGTTCCGGAATTAAGATATTGCCACCTTTATGGAAGCTGCATTTCTCTAGATTAAAAACTAATCTTCATAACAGTGCTAACACCCTCGTGATGGAACACAGTTATGCAGCGACCCGTATGTAGTGTACGAGAAAATGTTTCTCAGTAGTAAGATGAAACCTTCTTCACCCTTTTGACATTCAAAAACAAAATATGTAAGAAATATAGATTCAGTCCCCACTCAGCCTCAGAATACGGCATTGCATCGTTGTAAGATCTCAGAATATGATATCGTTTGAACGTGATTTCGCTAGCTAACTTTTCAATAACTTTATAAAAAATAAATACTGAATTGTGTTCAGTGCAATTCCAAATATACAACTATGCTTTAATCGGGTTAAATGGCTTCAGGAAAATTATGTGCTTCGGTATCAAGTCAAGTTGAAGATTCATTTAACTTTGTAATTGTTTCAAATTGCTTTGCATTTTTCCGATTATTGCTAAACTGAAATAAAATTAAAATATGATGTGGACACCACATGACTTGCTTGTACGGTCTATTAAATTATACACATTTTTTGCTGCATTTCACCTAAACTTATTTCCTCGAATCTCATTAGAGATATATTTCACAGTCGATTAGTTCAATTCTCTCTTCACGGCAAAGCAAAAATACATAAATACTCAAAACATCTTCATTAAAAATTGTAAAATACAGAAAAACATAAAACACCAAATACAGTTAAAACAGTTTAAAAAAAAATTTACAATTAACATTACAGTTTCACGTAAAAACAAGCAATTCGGGCAGCGAGATAGATTTTTTGTTGCACAAAATTGAAAGTTTACTTTTGGTCCCATTCGGCAAAAAGACAGTGAAGGTGCAGAAACTGATTTAATTCACTATTCCACTAAAGAGTTTCAAATGTAAACAAATGGCGGTTACGTTAAGCTTAATAGCACTTAAACAACTTTTAAACTGTTGATTATTCTACAACTATTACACGGAGATTAACTATAGGTATAAAAACCTTAACCGGAACATAAGAACAATATAATTCAATGACTTTAAAAGCAAAAAAATGCACAATTTACCATCATGTAAGAACAGGTTAACGAGCCTGGTTAACAGAGTTAGTACGCATATGCTTTTTGTGCTACCGATTGCAACCAAAAAGGGAGGTGCACAGCTACATGTTATAGCAGTCCCATGTACAAAATTTCAACGTTCTGAGGCTAAACATTTTTTGAGTTATTCGAGATACATACGTGCGTACGTACGTACAAACTTCAAGAAGAATATCTATTCTGATTCGATTTACAGTCCATTTTGGGAAAAAAAAGTCCTTTATTATGTCCAATACATACAGACCTAACGCAAAAACATCGCTCAAACGGATTCAACAGCGATCAAAATGGATAATTTCGTTGAAATATGATACCCGAAATTTTTTGCGATTAGAATATTCCCTTTACTTCGTACAAGGAAGTAAAAAATAATGTATTTATTTATTTAATGTAGTTCTTTAATTCTTATTTAATACAGTAATGTATCAGCTGTTTGCTTCATTTATTGCTTTTTTTTTTTTTTTTTTTTTTTTTTTTTTGAGTTTTAAAATACAGCGAAAAATCTACTTAGAACTAAATAATGTATTTAAAGGTAAAAAGTATGAGTAAATCCTTCGTAGTTAGGTTTTTTTCTTTTAATTACTCATGTTAAATTTTGATACGTCAGGAAAAGCAATAATATATTCGAGAAGAAATGCAATGTTTATGGAAAAGATGACATTTAAAGAAGGAGATAAAAAATCAAAAGAAAAGGGTTAGGTTACTAGATATAGCAGAGCACGTGAGGGCTATATGCCTAAGGGAAGGGATGCAGCCGAGGAGGATTTTCTAACGGAAAAACTAAGAAAACTGCAGCCAGTCCATTCACCTGGAATCCAACTCCCAATATTCAGTGATGTTAATGATTTAGCGACTGGTGCGTACAAAAATCAAAAGAAGAGAAAAGCATTGTTAAAGGTCAGTGCTCATTTTTATCCTTGATTTTATGTAGCGTGTTGAAAAATGCAGAGAGTAATCAACGCCGTCAGAATAAGCATAAAAAATACAGACATCAGAAAGTTCTTAGTCAACAGCAATAAAATCTGCCAACCGTTTTTGAGGGTTATGGAGAAGCATCTCGAAATGTCAACAACCACATCTAGTTTAGAAGAGACTTCAAAATATCATTTCAGTCTATCTTATTCGTAAACCAGTGTTTTAGAATATGAGTGAGTAAAATGGATTGCAAACACCAAATTATGTTTTCATCCAAGCAAGCAACATAAATCAATAAACCGACAAATCCACTTCATGAAATCATTTTTGAAGAATTAAAAAAATCATCAAAGATTAAGGCAATTTTCACCCTTTAAAATAATGCTGCAATGATGAGATCAACTCAGAAGTTTAGGTGTTTCTGCAAGCTGAGAGATTTCACACCTCAAGGTCAGCTAATCTTTAATCTAATTTTCAACTCACTTCCTACGTGTATGTCAGTTTCACAAGCACCTGTCAAAATCGTGGGCTGAGAAGACACTCAGAAAACAATTAAGTTTCGGGTTGCATTTCGTATGTTTTCTGTTAGATGGCGCTACAAAAGAGAAGAAATGGCCAAGTGGTGGCCCACTGGTCGAATGAAGCCCTTGAAATCTCTTTTTGGAAGCCTGCAATAAGAATTTTAACAAACTTTATTATTAGCATTGTTTGTTGTAATGTTTTTTAGCCGTCTTAGGGCCATCATGGCTAATATTTTGCTCCTCATGGGCGGTATTATAGTGAGGTATTATTTATTTCTATCACATTTTTAAGCCCTAAAGTTCAAATATGTATGTATTATGTGTAATTGTGTTCGAAACAGTACCTAAAATTGTTATAGGTACAATCTTATGAGTGCCCTGGTGTTCTGTATCTGCAATAGTGTTAGCGAAACATAACTGAAATTAATATATTATTGTCATGAAATAACTTTTTTATTAATCAAGGACATATTCCTAATTATAGCAGAACAGAACACTGAGCGACCTGTGGCGCTAATATACATCACTATTAATCCCCGTTACAGGAGAAGGCTACCTCTGATTTAGTACAAAAGATTTTGTTATATCATTATTAGACTATAAGCAAAAGTACGTTTACGTATGCAGTTTCCTTTAGTTGTATAGATTATTGTTTTTATTGAAATATTTAATAAGAAAACAGAGAAATGAGTTTCAGGAATATTAATACTACAGAAATATGGTTTACAGTTCATATATTTAACATGAATGCAAAGTTATGAGTAAATAAAAAATATTAAGATATTCAAATATTTTATTATTATGGTTGTAATTATTCTCTATTTATTTTTTAAATTAAAATTTTAATATGAGTAAGCTGTAAGATAAAATTTTTACTTTGGCTTGTGACAGTCCTTAAAATCTTCTTCTTTTTAATTTATTATTTCCACTTTCCAGCTTGAAGCTATTAGCTATAATAAATCCTTCTGAAAAGCTTTAGTTAAATAATAATCAAAAACTCACATACTTAAATTGCAGCAAAAATTGAAGTAAATATCATTTATCAAAAACATTTACTAAAATAATGGTAATTAAACCATACTATGTCCTGTTTGAGAATTATAAAAATTTTGTCATTCTTAATTTAACATCGCTTACATGATTGTCGCTCTTCTTTCACTTGCCTTAGCTTAGACCAGTGGTTCTCAACATAATTTGCCCCACGAACCCCTTTCATCGTTGCTAGAAGATCATTCTTCTTCTCCTTTCTCAAACTCGATAAACAGATATACACTTATTTCGATAATTTCTTAATATGTTTTTATAAATTGAACAACAAAACGTATAAACGAAGCTATGAAACTTTCCCCAGGGTGAAAATCCCTGGCTTAGACAATATGTTGTATACAACTTATTCTTTTGTCGTCAGCCATAGGTTGAAAATATGTGAAAGGTACGCTTCTCATAATCGAACAACAAGTGTACTTCTTTCAGTGCTTGAACTGCTTTGTTATTTTATGAGTTACACTTAAATGAAAATGATGCGTTCAATTCCATCAACCTGCATATTACTGAAGATAACAGCATTATACTGACCTTCATCTATGTCACTATTTAAAATTATATTGAAAGAAACATCGTTGTCTTTTTTTATCGCTTTTTTTTTTTTTTTTTTTTTTTTTTTGCTAAATCAGTACCAGTTAAATTGTTATTACATGCATATTATTCAATTTTATGTTAAAAGCTCAATAATCCTTCACACAAATATATATATAAATAATTTAGATGAAAGAAGCAATGTTTACCTCCTTTATCAAAACATCAGCAAAGAAAAGTAAGCTTTAAAAATTGTTGCTATTATTATAATATTTAATTTTTCTATAGAAAACGTTAGATTGTTTTGAATAAAGGTAATCATTGCAAACGATTCATCTTGCTGCAGTCATTCACTAAGAAAACAGAAACAGAACAACCTCTAAAGTGTAAGAAACATCTCTTTCATAGATTTAATCAGATGGGTAAGTTTAGGAAATAGTAAGTCTCAAGGTATAAAGGCAAAAACTCAGACAGATAATTATAAAGAAATATTAATATTTCCTTGCTTGAATAAATGTTCGAAATATCACCTTTTATCCCTTCTTCACCATCAAGGAAGTCTTTGCAATAGTTTCGCTTTAACGTTGCTATTGCAAAGAATTGTTTAAAGCTGAATAAAACATTTTTAATCTGTATTTAATTTGATCAATATTTTTCTCTTATTGCGGAAAAAAGTAACACCTTAACATGAAAGTTAAAATGTAAAGAATTAAATCATATAAATCTTTAAAATGTTGCATATTTGGAATTTATATGCTAATGCTAACGAATGAATTTCAGTTTTTCAGAAAAACTGTATACTCCTAACGTAAACTACAAGTAGTTAGGTAAGTAGCATATGAAGGATCTTCCAACTGCTTTAAGTATCCTAGGACTGCTAGGAGGCCGATGACCAGGTGAATGCCATAAAAATAAAAGTTTCAGAAATATTCTGGAAAAATATCTTGCACTTCACCATGATTCAATCACAATCATCTTTATAGTACTGTCATGATTATTTTTATAATACTTAAGAACCATACGAAGTTTTGAACGGAACATTAATTCCAATGGTTATTATGAATTTCACGTTTTTAAATTACCTTTAGGTAACAGATATAATGCTTAAGTAGTAATATTAAGTCAACATAACATCTAACTTTGTGCTAAATTTTTGTAAGAAACTTGAGTATTTTAGAGTACTAATTCATGTCGATAAGGTAAGGAAAGTCAAAACTCATCTCTAATATATTAGTGAAAGAACTCAATATTTGAGTTCATATTACTGACTCCACATTGAATTATTCTATGCAACAATAAATACACTGATGAAAAACTGAAATTCCAACAACAAAGAAGCATAGGTACTAGGTTAACGGAGTTTGGGAGGCATATCTGCGCACCTGAAAGAAGATGAATATTCATATTTCGCCCTAGACAAATAAATAAGTGCACCGTTAGCAGCGTCAGCTATGAAGATGCAAATCACACTTGTTTTAAACACGCGATGTAAATTTTGTGTATTTTATTTATCTTGTGGACTGGGCGTTGTGAGAGAGAGTTGAGTTAAGAATGTCATTAAAAATATGAAAAAGCAGCATCAGAAACTGAGTTTGAATAAAGCTGTATAACAGGACTACGAAAAGGTGGATTTTTTTTTTCGCAATACCGCAGAAAGACGCTGAAACGATGAATCCACTATGAATGCGTGCTGGCAACAATAGGCACGAAAAGTTACTGTCTCAAGAAGTCCGAGATCTTGTCGGACACGTTTCACCAATCAGAGGGAAAGACCGCCGTATTTACCCGTATGTCTGTAGCGCATAGCACAGCATCTTCAGCAAATATTCGAGCTTTTGTTGGTCCTAGAGTGATACAACGAACTGCAACAAATCGATTACTCGAGGGACAGCTAGGAGGCCGATGATCAGGTGAATGCTTTGGACCAAGCTGTGTGCGGCGTGGACATATTGAACATATACTAGGAGTTATTGTCTGAGGGCCAATTTCCAGTGACAGTAAAAACACTCTGATCGTTATACCACACACCTTGACAACGAATCTGCGACTGCAGTGGTTGTGCTGCTATTCTTGATCAATAATCCAGTGAGTATTTTACGACAGTATAACGCTCGTTTTTATACCGCTACTATCACCCAATATACTCTACAAAGTATCGACATGTCGCCTTGGCCTGCGAGAGTAACCGATCTTTCTCCCATCGAGCATGTATGGTATATGATTGGACGATAAATCTAGTATCATCCACAACCAGCCCGAACCTTTGTTGATCAAACTGACCAAGTGCAACAAGCATGAAACTCCATCCCATGAGATGGCATGCGGCAAGTGTACAACAAAATGCATGCGATTTCGCACGCCTGAATTCAACATTGCAGCGCCTGCACAGGTTATTAATGTACCACCTCTTCACATTTAAAATGGCTTTTCTCCGTTATACCCATGGCCTTGAAATATTAGTCAATTAAATATGTTATCTAAAAAAGTGCTTTGCCAGCATTTTATTCCTTGAATCAGACTTCTTCTTGGTGCTGAGATTTCTTTATTCTTCAATGTATTTTTATAAAGTAAATTTCGCAAACTAAAAGTAAATAAATTCGAAATAAAGCTCGAAAACTGCTTAAAATTTGGGGCATAAGTTCAAAATGTTACCTCGTCATCAAACGCTTCTTCATGGTGATGAGTACGAGTGGTTTCAGTAGATATCTCGCCATCCTTCAGTTCGGATATTTCTTTCACTTCATCTTTGTCCACTATCTTCTGAGACCTACTTGAATAGTGGGTTAGTTTCCCAGGGAATTCACCGAAAGAGTTACTAAAGCTGGGATCATCAGGAGATATAATTGTCCTCTGGTGGATTTCCTAAAAACGGAAGAAAGTCAAAAAATCGTTTGGCAAGGAATACAGCCATAAGACTTTGTATCAAGAGTAATCTAAATTAATGTATAGTAATTAGAAATACCTGTCGCTAATTTATATAGCATTAAATTTTAGTAAGTTGAGGTATTCTCATTTAATTCCATACCCTGTTTGCTATGAATATTACAAAGAATAAAACCTTCGAGGTAAAAATAATTTTTTTAGACAGTAAATAGTATATAAGCTGAAATGCATTGCTTAATGCACTAATAATATGATCTCTGGCTCTACGCTTATCCAAAATATGACTTTGTTGATCAGATTAATGTTGATGAGAAATGCATTCTGATCAACTTTAAAAATTTATTTTGATAAACCTCACTGTTTTTATTCTGATTCACTTACTTTCTAATACTAGAACTGAAAAAAACACAGGGAAAAAATTGTGAGTCCTAATTAGATTAAGAATTTATTTTATTCAGCCATTTTTGTATACCCTGTCACTAGAATTGAAAATTCGAATTTTATTCGTTATTTATTCAAAAATATTCACATCCCGAAAATAAATTTTTCATTGATATCTATCATATTAGTAATAGTTAATAACTAGCATATTATTAATAGTTTATAACTAGCAGAAGTTATCTGAAATGAAACCATTAACATAACCATTGAAACTTTTTTCATAAAGTAAGAGTAATTTTTCAGTTAATTTGGATTTCTCCTACGGGATTCATCGCACAATGCCACATAGTTTTTGAGAAGATTTATAAATTGCAAATTGCTGTCGTTGACTGTAAACCTACTCATTATTCTGTTCAAGTTTTACTAAGACATGCCTTACATTATTAATGCACAGAATAGGCATTTCAGTGTCGTTTTGGTCCCCCTTTCAGGATTACCTCATTCATTTATACACTGACTACCAATAAGTATTTGGACACCTATGCAAATGACGATATCTGCGGTCCTAAGGTATTTCACGGGGTATCCGCCGATAACATCGCGGCAAAAACATCGCGGACGAAAACGTCGCGGAGAAAACAACGTAAGGCGAAAACGTCGTGCTACAAAACATCGTAGGAGAAAACATCGCAGTTCTAAAACATCGTGGTACAAAATAAAGTATATACAAATCATCGCATGACGATAACATCGCAGACATGCTTTTTTCAGGTTTTAATAATTGTAAATGATTATTCCCATAATGATTTGTGAGCGCAAGATGTAAAGAAGGATAATTTTTACTTTCACATTTTTTTATTAACTAATAAATTTTTGCTGAAAACGTAAGAAGGAAACTTAAGCATAGAAAATTAAATGCGACTTATAGATTACACTTTTCATGAAAAATTACCAGTAAAAACTTTATAAAAAATGATTTATTAATAGCCTTTGTTAGTTAACTTATCAGGTTCTGCGTTCCTCCTTACTTGCTTAGGGAACATTGACTGTCCTGACTCGGAACAGGGAGCTTACTAAAGCTATGTTCAATAAATTTGGGAAGTAGACAATACACACAGGAAGGGTATACCGAAACCCTTTATTTTTCTCTCTTTACAGTGATTTCCGGACTCGGAATACAGAGACCAACCACTTGTGGTCTGAACGTAAGAATATAATATATTAACTACTAAACTCTAACTAGACTTAACTTTGGATTAATCAAACAGTGCCTAACTCCAAGATGGCCGTTATATTAACAAAAAGCCGTATGTAGTACAGAGAACTGCTAACACTACGATACGTTTAAAATTATCAAGAGGATTAAACCTTTGGCCTTGAAGGCAACCAGCAACCGAGTAAAACTACTGTGGCAAGCGGCCTGCTTCTAATAGCTCCTTCCTCTCTCTTGCTTGGCAAAAAGCCACAACTTAAGTACTTGGCGTTAGCAAGACAAATTTGCATAAATAAGTTAAGCTTTTAATTCTAGCCGGAAGTAGAAAATAAGAAGTGATAGTAAAGATTTAAAATAAAATAAACGTTAGTAAAACTTAGGATCCTTACAAACTATGTCGGTTTAAAATTCTATTAAGTGTTACAAGTTGCATTAATTTTCTATGCTTAAGTTTCCTTCTTATTTTATCAGCAAAAATTTATTAGTTAAATAAAAATATGAAAGTAAAAATTATCTTCTTCTTCCATCTTGCGCTCACAAATCATTAGGGGAATATCCATTTACAATTACTAAAACCTGAAAAAATCATGTCTGCGATGTTATCATGTGATGTGATGATTTGTAGATACTTTATTTTTACCACGATATTTCGACGACGATTTTTTTAAATTGCGAAGTTTTTGAACCGTTTATTTAGACGACGATGTTTTGTGCCACGATGTTTTAAACAGCGATGTTTCTCTCGCGATTTTTTTTCCACGATGTTTTGTAGCACGACGTTTGCCTTGCTTTGTTTTCTCCGTGACGTTTTTGTCCGCGATGTTTTTGCCGCGATGTTTTCGGCTGTAACCATTTCACGGACTCCGCCGGTATATATCGTGTAGGAAACAGCATCGGCTTTAGTCGCATGCAAGATGCCTCGCAGTTCGAAGCTCTCTGATTTCGAGAAAGGTATAATTATCGGGTATCACAAATGTGGCCGATTCCTTAAGGGACATATCTAGCGATCTGAAGTACCCAAAATCGACAGTGGCCTATGTGATTAAGAAGTGGAAGGTGAGCGGTGATTGTCGGAATGTGCCCCGAGTCGGCAGACCAACGAAACTGGGAGATAGAGACCGACGAGTGCTGTCCAGAGAAATTCGGAAGAACCGCACCCAACCGATGGCCCTCATCCGCGAGGAGTTTCAACAGGCATCCGGGAGTATTGTTTCAATGAATACCATCCGTAAGGAAGCACATCTGCTTGGTTTTCATGGTCGTGCTGCTGCCCATAAGCCTTTGATCACAAAGTCCAACCGCGCTGCTCGGTTAATGTGGTGCAAAGCACATCGAAATTGGACCGTAGATCAGTGGAAACGGGTTCTTTGGAGTGACGAATCAAGGTTCACCCTTTACCGTTCGGATGGCAGGGTCTGGGTCTGGCGTCTACCTGGAGAACGTCTCCTGCCAGAATGCATTGTGCCAACAGTCAAGTTCGGCGGAGGTGGAATTATGGTCTGGGGGTGTTTCTCCTGGTATGGGCTGGGACCCTTGGTCCCCATTCATGGTAAGCTCAACTCCGATGCCTACTGCACTATTTTGGATGACAATGTGCTTCCTACGTTGTGGCAGTTTTACGGGTTGGACCCCTGTTACTTTCAGGACGACAATGCCAGTTGTCATTTTCGACGTTAACCAAGGCTTGGTATGGTGCCAATGGAGTTCATCGAATGGACTGGCCTGCCCAGAGTCCAGACCTGAACCCTATCGAGAACTCTGGGACGAGTTGCATCGCCGAATTCAGGGGTGCACTACCCGTGCAAAATCGGTGAAGGAACTTCTATGTCTTCTCCAAGCCGAGTGGAAGAAAATACCACTAGCTGTCATACAAAGACTTGTGGAAAGTATGCCCCGGGGGTAACCCGCTGTAATTACCTCTCATAGAGGCTCTACTAACTATTGATTTTGAATAAAGTTAGTTTTTCTTTTCTATCGCAGGTGTCCAAATACTTATTGGTAGTACTCCGTACATACAAGATTGGACAGTGAGTGACCTGCCGTCACTCAGTGATCACAAAATTATTACTTACAGCCTGGATACTCCTATAGACTACATAATAAAGAAAAGATTCAAAACGGCATTTGGAGGACATTCCGTTTTACGGGAACACATTCGAGCGCACGTAGAGAAATTTATCAAAGATTTCAACAACTGCCAGGACAGAAACTCCTTAGATAATCTCTACGACTTACTAGTTACAAAAATAGTGCAAGCCGCCCACAAAGCATATCGTTTGAAATCTGTAAAGGCAAACACTCGATATCCTGGTGGTCACCAGAGCTTAACACAGAGAGGAGCAGAGTTCGAGCACTTCGCAGAAAAGCACAATCCACGGTAGATCCATATCTACGGCAACTCAAAATGATAACATTACAATAAAGCCAGAGCTTTATATAAAAGAAAAATTAAAGAGGCCAAGTTAATCTCATGGAGAAACTTACTGTAGTAATGTCACTAAAGCCTTTGGACCTACTCAAAAGATAACATGTAACAAGGTGTTTCGTCCTACGACCCTTTCGCATATGGTGAATAGCACTGCCTCATCCAACATCGAAGTAATCAGTGAGATCATAAATGCAGTTTTTCCTGATGATGATGAAGAGGATTTCTTAGAGCAGAGCAAGAGGAAGCGAGAAAAACCTACAGTATGATGAAATTTTGCCAGGTTACCAGAAGAGACGAAACTCCCTCCTACGCAAATGGAAGTGGGATAACATCATACGTACTCTGGCACCCAAAAAAGCTCCAGGTCCGGATGGAATTGATAATATCATCATTAGAGAGATACACCGGGAATTCCCAAAACTATTCCTTGCGGTCATTTCAGCTTGCTGGAAACATCAGTACTTTCCTAAAAATATGAAGTTGGCAGAAGAAGTGGCGTTATTCCTAAAATCAGGCAAAACTCCGGCAGAACCTACATCTTACAGGCCAGTCTGTCTACTGCCAGCGCTCGGTAAGGTATTGGAAAGAGTAATTCTTTACAGATTGGACTTCTTCCTGCAAAGGAACAACGCCCTGCATCCAACCAATATGGATTCCGAATGGGCAACTCAACTGAACATGCCATAAAAAGACTTAATGGCCACTATCAAACAGAACAAGGATAACAATTTGCACTCACTGGCAATAGCCATTGACATCAAGGAGCCTTTGACTCCCTTTGGTGGCCAGACGTAATAAATTTGCTGCACAACATGGCGTGCCCAACAGCCATTATTACCATCCTTCGCTCGTACCTTCAAGATCGAAGTGTACAAGTAACATCAGACAGCGGCATTTATGTCAAAAATGTCTTTAGAGGATGTCCACAGGGGTCATGCCTTGGACCAACACTGTGGA